TGCCTGTGTGGCTTCTTGAGCTGCTGCTGCCTGCGGGCGTCCTCTGCCTCCCTGCAGTTGTAGGCCATGCCGTCCTTCTTCTCCTTCTTACGCAAAGACAGGGTTAAAGCCAAAAGGAGAAGGCACCCACCCAGGAGAGCAGCCAGGCAGATAACAGCCACCACGGACGGGCTCAGCCACCCAGGATCCTGGGCTGAGATTTTGGAGAACGCCCCGTGATGCCGGAAAACTAAGCGGACCCGGGCCAGGGCGTGCAGGGGGATGTCCCCTCCATCACTCACCCGGACCACCAGCTCCCGCTCGCTGCCAGCAAGGCTGCTGGTGTTGCTGGCATTAAGGAAGACCTGCCCCAAGAGAGGGTCCAGGATGAAGAGCCCGGCGTCATCCCCACCCACCAGATCATACCGGAGAGCCCCGTTGATGCCAGAGTCCGCATCCCTGGCCGCGATGGTGAAGAGGAAGGGAGCGCCGGCACACGACACGAGTGTTGCATTGGTCACCGCTGCAGTCCCTTGGGTGCTCCCGTTCCCAGGGACCACCCAGAAGCACCCCGTCTCCACATTGACCAGGACAGAGAGCATGGCCGCGCCTCCCACCAGCGCTGGCATGGTGATGATGGGTGCGTTGTCGTTCCGGTCAAGCACAGCCAGCCTGATGGAGACGTTGGATGCCAGCTTGGGGTGACCACCATCCTCTGCAGTCACCAGGAACTCCAGGCTCCTCACCTGCTCGTAATCAAAAGCTTGGAGGGCAAAAACATCCCCAGTGGTGGGGTCGATTGAGACCAGACCCGAAGCAGAAGAGCCCGGGATGCTGTAGGTGATTTTCCCGTTGAAACCCAGGTCGGGGTCGGTGGCACAGATGGTGAGCAAGAAGGCAGGTGCTTCGCTGTTCTCAGCAACAGCAACCTCGTAGGTGGCCTTCTCAAAGGAGGGGGCGTTGTCGTTAACGTCGCTGATGCAGATAGTGAGGTGCTTCAGCACGGCCAAGGAGAGGTCACCCTGGTCCCGCACCACCAACGTCAGGTTGTACTCGGCACGCAGCTCCCTGTCCAGCGTGGCGTTGGTCATCAGCATGTAGCTGTGGCTGTTGGTCCTCTTCAGCCTGAAGTGCTCGTACCCTTGACTGAGGGAGCAATGCACTTGCCCGTTGCTTCCCGAATCGGGGTCGCTGGCTGTCACCAGAGCCACGAAGCTGTCTTTGGGGAGGGCTTCGGAGAGCACGGGGACCTGCGCCGCCCAGGTGACATGGACATCGGGAGCGTTGTCGTTGACGTCCAGGACTTTGACCAGGATCTTGCAGTGTGCTGGGATGGGGTTGGCGCCCAGGTCCCGGGCTTGCACGTCCAGCTCGTAGGCATGGGTTTCCTCGTAGTCCAGCGGGTGCTTCAGGATGACGCTGCCTGTGCGGGCATCGATGCCGAAAGCGCTCAGCACCTCCGGGGGCGCGTGCTTGCTCAGGCTGTACTCGATCTCCCCGTTGGGGCCCTGGTCGGGGTCGGTGGCCGTGACCGTCACAAGGAGGGTCCCGGGCAGAGCATCCTCCCGGACCTCTACCATCAAAGAGCTCTCTGCAAAGACGGGGCTGTTATCATTGGAGTCAAGGACGATGACTTTAATTAAAGCGGTACCTGATTTTGGCGGCTCCCCATGGTCAGTGGCTGTCAGCACGAGGTCGAAGGAGGAGTGCAGCTCCCGGTCCACTTCTTTAACCACGACAAGCTCAGCGTGCCTCATCCCGTCGGAGCCGGAGATGACCTCCAGAGCAAAGTGCTCGCTGGGGGAGAGGGTGTAGGAGCAGCGGGCGTTGGGGCCGGCGTCGGCGTCCAGGGCTCGGTCCAGCGGGATCCGTGTCCGCAGGGATGCGCTCTCCGACATCTCCAGCTCCAGCTCAGGCGTGGGGAACCGCGGCGCGT